GGGAATTAGTCCCTGACACATCTAATGTAGATATGAAAGCCCAGAAGGATGGCAAATGGTGTTCTCGCGAAGCTGCGATAGGTCCAGCAAACCAGTAGTGGATTGAAACTGGTTTCAACACATAGCAAAGCCTCGGGAGGATGCTTTGTATAATGACCAATACAGCAAGCAGTCACATCATAGGAGGAAGAAGAAGAAGAATAAGTTAGGATGGGGTGACAAAAATGCATAAAGAATACTGGTGGAGATATGTGATGGAAAATTATAACTTGTATGATGAAGAACTGGAGGTAGGATGTTAAACTGGATCTCAGGTAAGCAGTAGTAAAAATTTGAGGTTGATTGAATTCGTTCAAAATCATGTCCAATGGTAGCCTTTGGAATTTGCAATATTGATTCCTTTGGTTCTGGTACCAAAGTGTCAGTTGCTAATATAGACATAAAACTAATTTCATCATAATACAAATGGTACGTTATAAAGCTCAAGGATTACTTTCTGCAGTAGTTCATGAGTTATTAATTGCCATGAATGTTACGTTATGTTCCCAGATGGCCACGGACTGGTGTAATTTGTAATGTGTACTTACCAGTCTGAACTCCAGAAATGTTGGGTACATATCCTCTACTCGTGTCAAATGGTACAGCAGAGTCAGCTTGTGTGCTGCGATGTCTGATACTATGTAAGACCATTTCACATTCAATGGTCTCTGTGACTGCTGTTGGAACAGCCCCTCCAACTGCGGACACCACCAGCTTTATGTTCCCCACTGTGTGTGGCACATCTGCACAAGCAACCCCACATAACATATTTCAGGATCAGAGTAATACAAACATCATTCATTAATAAAATTAGAGAATAAATTATTTATTTAGGGTTTATTAAATTATACTTCTAATAAGTCAGATTACACAGCATTGAATAAACAGACGAGTGGGAAAGGGTAGCAGATAAGAAAGTATATACTGCCCATACTATAAAAATTATTTCCTGGCAACAGTACTTTGTAGCTCGCTGACTCACCTCCTGGGTCAATAAGTGTTTGGATTATGTAGTAAATGAATTTGTCTTCTTATACATGCAAGACAGTGGTGCAGACAATAAATTCAGTTTGATCCCAGCTATAGTAACAACCAAAGTGTTGTAAACACCTTACCATTACTTTTTTGGCATTAAAATATGTTTGATAAAGTATGAGACAATGGGAGGAAAATAAAGTGATGAAACTGTTTGGAAGGAATTTTTCATTAATTTGTCATGAAGGAAAGCATGATGATGAAATCAAGACTGGCCAAACACGCTTACGAAGAGGACCATCGGATAAGTTGAAACGTCAAGTTTCTTCAAATCGAAAGAAACAGTACTTATAGAAAGTACAAAGAATCAGCTCACATGGCGTGATTGGCGAACCCCATTAGTCAGTCCAGTTTGGAAATTTCGCCCATATGGATTCCGTTGATCAACAAGGAAGTCAGCAATAATATGGTTTAATAGATACCGATAACTGTGTGCAACACTTGTCCTAAGTTACCCAGTAGACTCTTATCTCTCAAGGAGGACAATAGTGACAGGTTCTTTCCTGCTTATAGGATGCCTGCAGTAGGTTCATATCCTCCTGTACAGAGACTTTTATGGACCTATTTTAAGAACTCCAATATGAATTTATGTGACACAAAATATGTCATAAAAACACAAAACAAATACTGTACACCAATACCTATTTAGTATGATGTGCAAGTGCCTATACAGCAAGCTTTCCTCTAATACTGTGAAACACTCCGTGGAATGTCTCTAATTCTGATAAGCACTGATTTAAATTTTTGCATGAATAATGGATTAGATTTTCTAGCTTGAAAATTGTCATCTGTATGAACAGAGTGTATGCTTGCTTAATGTAGCAAGAGGAGTATCACAATTCCTTCCAAACTGTTATCATCAGTAGAAGACACTTGTAATTCTTTTAAACCAACAACACCACCTGAATAAGAAAAGTCAGAAATACGCCTGTGCTCATAGTCTGGATCACTGCCACTGATTTTACCGACTTTCATTCTCACGTGGGTAGGGAATAACACTGTGTGTAACTGCAAACCGTTTTGAACACAATGAATATGAACTATCGAACTATCTAACCGCTGCTTAGAAGAGAAGTGCATGATACTGGATTGCTACTCAGCATACAAACTCATTTCACAGTTTGTTAGCAAAATTGTCCTATGTTTATTCCATAAAACAAAGGGGCGCAACATCTTATTCAGTCTTTGTTTTCAGGTAACATAAGCTCCGTGGTAAAAAAAAATGTTGGAACTTACATAACCCTCTACGCTAATTCTTGGTTTTTCTTGCTTGTCACTTGCACACTTGGCTCATTGTCCATTCACTAGAACAACATGTTTCAGTCTGTGGGCACCATTACATTCAAATCCCTGCTTTTATGTCATTGCTACCAAATGTCATTTTTGAGTGGTTAGACTCCTGCTTCATATGTGGGAAGTCCTGGGTTGAAATCTCAGCCTGGAGACTGCCTATCCTGACTGAAGTGTTTGCAGTTTTTCTCAGTCCTTCAAGGTAAATGCTGAGATAGTAACTTAAATTATGCCATGACCGCTTCCTTCATTTCTCTCTCTTTGTCATCAGTCTTCCGGCTGCTTTGATGCAGTCCTCCATTTTTGTCTATCTTGTGCCAGCCTCTTCATTTCCACATATTTTTTACAGCCCACATCCTCAAAAATCTGCGTCACATATTCCAATCTTTGTCCAGAATTATTCCTCCCTAACAATTAAAGACATACAGGTATTTATATCTTACATTTGAATAACAGTGAGAGCTTTCTTTTATTTATTAATCAAAAATGACAACATACAGAAAAACTGACAGGTTTACAAAATAAAATTATGATTTGAGAATTAACAACTGTGCTTTGTACTGACAGTTTTATGTTCCATTCAGTGACAAAGTTACATCACCACATATGTCAGTGTTGGTCACATGAATGGGTCAAAAGTCTGTATTATAAAGGCTTATTTTATATATGATTTCAAGCTTTCACGACGAAGTAACTCACTAAAATCTTCTTAGGCGATCAGCCACGTCAAAGGTTTAAACAATAAAACCGACATTTCAGAGACCGTCTTTGTCCCCATCATCAGAAGCCTGATGATGGGGATAAAATTTAATCTACATAATTTTGGTAATGTGGCAGAAAAATCTTTCTTATGGTCATACAAACATTATTATAACATTGGAAGTTATAAAATAGTCAGGGATGTGGTAATGCTACCCAGACTTTCCTTGTGCCCTACTCCCAGACCATTATAATATTCCTACTCAGAACCACTACTAATTATTGGGTACAGGCCAGTGGGAACTAGTTGTCACAGCCAAGCATATGACTTTGATTTGTCTTGTTTTGTGATTGGTGTTTGTCTGGACTGAGAATAAAGAAGATGTTGAATAAATAACCATTAGGATGAACAAGGATGAGAAAAGAAAAATAATGTATGCAAATGGCAGCAAGAGGAGTGCTTATAGGAGAATGGCATATTTCAATAGAAACACCAGTGGATGAAAGGGGGCATCATGCCAAATATACCACATTACATAATTCCAAAATCCTTTTGTGAAACATTTTGTAATTTGGTGAATATTTAATGAGAGGAACATAATTTTACATTGTACTTAACTGACAGTTGTTATTATTCAACAAAGTACTCATGCAAGTGATCAATAAATAGCCTGCTTATTGGCATCACAACGATTTATATGCAGGTTAAGTATCATTGTTACTTGTGTTCTCTTTTTCCACAACATATTTTTCATATTACACAATAAGTACAAAGGTGAATTTTATAACATTTGATACAAATATATAATTGTGTATAAAGAGTTTTATCATACTAAATAACATAAATTGTTTAAAACTTATCTTACTGAATATGGTTGGTTGGTGGCTAATGTCCCAGTCTTAACTATTGTGGGGGAGCAATGTAGGTACTCCACAGAGTGCCCCATGGACTTTGGCTAAACAGAATACAATTCAGTGATAAAGGCTTCAGTATTTAACAGCCTGACTGGCCTAACTAAGCCAGGAGATGACATTAGATTCTGATCTTGATTAGATTCCTGAGTGTAACAATTCATTAAATTTTTCTGATGATACTACAGACTTTGGAATATAAAGGACTCCCTACATTTAATTAAAATATGGTAAGTGGGTCAATATGACAGTTACTGTTTGAACCATCAGCTGTGGTTACAGTGTATAAGGATGAAATGATTATCTCAACATTTGAATTTCTACTGCATCTGGTTGTTATGACATATAATCTCTCTTACAAACCATAGAAAAACCAACAGAGCAACATAAAATTGTGTTTAAACAGATGAGTTTAAGGGGCATGCCTGGAAAAATGTTTACCTCTAACATTTAACCATTTTAATAATAAATGTTAAAAAATCCAAATGAACAGGAAATATAAAAATAGAAATAGTAATGGCTTTGTCATAGAATTTGCATGCTTTACCCATTGGAGGAGGCTGGGTAGGGCCCAGAGCCAGTTTGGACACACAAGCTAGAGGAAGAAATCCTCCACTCCTCTCTGATCATCAAGTCTGTAGTCAGTCACTACACTGACCTACCCTGGCTCTTCCTAGAGCAGTTTGCATGGATTGGGACAGGCTTTTCTTAATGATGCTCAGATTCACCCACTCTTTATCATGAACAATTAAATAAGAAAGAAGAATCAGCATCATGCCAACCGACCACATGTAACAGAGAGCAGATCCAATTTAAATGTTATTTGTATCAGGTACAGTTTTACAGTGGATGGTTTCAAGCATAAACTTATAAACATAACTCACAATTATAACTCTTTAACTTATTAATATAGTTCAGAGAGCAATTATGGTTAGTGAGAGTCATCAGACTTGACTGTTGGCAGCATTGTCTACTGTCTGTGGCACAGTTCTACCTAACAGGCGAGGACCAGCTATGTATATTCCCACTGCTCTGATCAGGGCAGTTATCAAGATAGCTACCGCAGATCATGTCAGAACTTGTGATGCTAGATCTAATTTGTTCATGTCCACTGGATCCTCCTTGCATGCAAAATCCAGAGCCACAGGACTAAGGGCAGCCTGAACAAATAAGTACTCATGCAAGAGATCAATAAATAGCCTGCTTATTGACATCACAACGATTTATATGCACATTAAGTATCATTGTTACTTGTGTTCTCTTTTTCCACAACATATTTTTCATATTACACAATAAGTACAGAGGTGAATTTTATAACAGTTGATACAAATGTATAATTGTATGTAAAAGGTTTTATCATACTAAATAACATAAATTGTTTAAAACTTATCTTACTGAATATGGTTGGTTGGTGGCTAATGTCCCAGTCTCAACTATTGTGGGGGAGCAATGTAGGTACTCCACAGAGTACCCCATGGACTTTGGCTAAACAGAATACAATTCAGTGATAAAGGCTTCAGTATTTAACAGCCTGACTGGCCTAACTAAGCCAGGAGATGACATTAGATTCTGATCTTGATTAGATTCCTGAGTGTAACAATTCATTAAATTTTTCTGATGATACTACAGACTTTGGAATATAAAGGACTCCCTACATTTAATTAAAATATGGTAAGTGGGTCAATATGACAGTTACTGTTTGAACCATCAGCTGTGGTTACAGTGTATAAGGATGAAATGATTATCTCAACATTTGAATTTCTACTGCATCTGGTTGTTATGACATATAATCTCTCTTACAAACCATAGAAAAACCAACAGAGCAACATAAAATTGTGTTTAAACAGATGAGTTTAAGGGGCATGCCTGGAAAAATGTTTACCTCTAACATTTAACCATTTTAATAATAAATGTTAAAAAATCCAAATGAACAGGAAATATAAAAACAGAAGTAGTAATAGCACTATCATAGAATATGCATGCTTTACTCCTTGAGAAAGGACCCAGTACCCATTGGAGGAGGCTGGGTGGGGCCCAGAGCCAGTCTGGACACACAAGCTAGAGAAAGAAATCCTCCACACCTGTCTGATCCTCAAGTCTGTAGTCAGTCACTACACTGACCTACCCTGGCTCTTCCCAGAGCAGTTTGCATGGATGGGGACATGCTTTTCTTAGTGTTATTCAGATTCACCCACTCTTCATCATGAACAATTAAATAGGAAAGGAGAATCAGCATCATGCCAACCAATGACATGTAACTGAGAGCAGATCAAATTTAAATCCTATTTGTATCAAGTACAGTTTTACAGTGGACATGTAAGATTTGAGGTTTTCACAGCAGTGAGAATAAAGATTTCTGTCTTCTGGGTTGTTGTACCAATGTTGGTAAATATCAACCAGATTACAGAGTGCAACAACCCAGAAGACAGAAATCGTCTTTACAGTGGATAGTTTCAAGCTTAAACTTGTAAACATACCTCACAATTATAAATCCAAACTTAATAATACAGGGTTATTCATAATTCCCTGACACATTACAAAAAATTGTTAGACTTGAATGATGCAATGGATAGTAACATAGGACATGCTGATAGAAAAAGGAACTTTCCAAGTTTATTTTACATACCTCATAAATGCTCTATGTGTCCGCCCTTTGTGACGCAGCAGATGTCAAGCTGATAATCCATTTCAGCCCATACCCGCTGCAGCATGTTACGATCGATTTGTGAGATGGCAGACATGATTCGTATTCACAACTCATGCAGATCCCGTGGCAGAGGCTGTACAAAGACCTTATCTGGAACGTATCTACACAATAAAAAATCACATGGCGTCAGGTCAGGTGATCGGGGTGGCCAACTAAGCAGCACATGGTCATACAGCATTTATGAGTTTTGTAAAATAATCTTGGAGAGTTTCTCTTTCTATCAGCATGTCACATGTTACCATCCTTTGCACCATTCAAGTCTGGCAATTTTTTGTAATATATCAGAGAATTATGAATAACTCTGTATAGTTCAGAGAGCAATTCTGGCTAGTGACAGTCATCAGACTTGACTGTTGGCAGCATTGTCTACTGTCTTTGGCACAGTTCTACCTAACAGGCGAGGACCAGCTATGTATATTCCCACTGCTCCGATTGGGGCAGTTAGCAAGATAGATAGCACAGCTATAGTCAGAACTTGTGATGCCAGATCTAATTTGTTCATGTCCACTGGAACTTCCTTGCGTGCCAAATCCAGAGCCACAGGACCAAGGGCAGCCTGAACAAAAGTCACATATAAGGAAAAACGTATGATGCACAATTCACATAATAGGCTGGCTGAAAATAGAGCAATTTTTAAGTTAACAACAAACTGAAATGTTGTCGCAACAATAGATCATTCATATCCCTGTTGCAAGAGTACTTGTACGAGCAACAAGAGAAGTGACTATCTGGACAGAAATTAATTTTATATTTAACATTATAATAGCTAATATTTCCATTTGTGTCCTAATTTAACCTTTCTAGCCTCTCCCTGATTTGGCATTAATAAGGAGTCCATTTCTAAGGTAGGGATATCTGTGAGAAAGATTTTGTTAACAAACCCCCCCCCCCCCTTGAAAAAAAAGGGCTTCAAACTCGTTTCTTCGGGATCCCACACTCATAATGTCCCACATTTGTTAGGGGTTAGAGTAAGAAAAAGCACGTGCAAAAATATCTTCACTGGTTGTATCTGGACCTTTAGGACAGTAAGTATCAGATCACCAGGTCTCCTTCTTAGGAATAACTCATATTACAGCAAAAACAGGGTGAACATAAATAGCCTGAGTGGTTTCAAATGTTTATTTAACAAAAACTAAACAGCATATGGAAGTGAAACACCACTAGATAGATACTTATGAAAGTGTTCTCGTACATTAGTGGAGTTTTATATGTGCTCCATTTGTGGCTCTGCACAAATCAGAGCAATACTAGATTGTTCTGCATAACTGTTGGTCTTGTTTGCTGTATCTATCAAAGTATGTGAATGTGATCATGCACCCCACAGGGATGGCAACTCTAATACCAACTTCCATCTAGTGCCAAAATCTAGAAAGGTGTAACTTTACATCCATGCCCCTTATATACCTTCATAGTGTTATTACCTGAACAGTTGCTTTTGGGAACCATGCGATCGTCACAAACAGCATCTCTTTCAGGTTCAGTGTTCCTCCCATGGTTGCCAAGCAGCTTGCCAACAGTCGCAACTAAAAACAATATATTTATTAACTGGTTGAGTTCTTACACACGCATCCAGAAATATTGCTGGTGGATCAAGAGAATTGTGTTTTCAGTCTTCCTTCTGGGATTCGGGCATATCTAGCACTAATGAGATATAATAAATAAAAATTAACTTTACTTTTTTCTGTAGCCTTTAATTGCTTAGCACCTTGTTTCAAAACATCATCAACCTGTCCTTTGAACAGAGTGACAGGCATATATATTAATGCTTTTATAAATTTTCTTCGTTGATTTTGATATGACCATATGTGGTCCTTGCCACACTGTAATGGTGAAAGTGAGGTTCAACTTGGCAGGCCTATCTCAGTTAAAACGAGTGGAATGACATATTTTCTAGATGCAATCTGTGATTTTGCACAATTCATTGTTTCATAATTAATTACAGTACAGATTCATTGCACTGAGTTATAAAAGTTTTCATTAGTTCATTATCATCATCCATGTGTCACTGCTTACACAAGATCCAGCTGACCGTACATGACTTCATCATATCACTAAACCTGTTCAAACTGAGTTAAAGTTCAGCCAGCAGCCCCATTGTACAGGGTTTTAAATCCCATATTAACCATACTATAAAGGTTAAATATTCACCATATAAAAACTGTTTTCAAATAAAACGTATGTCTTAATACTTTGAAGCTATTGTTCATCTAAATAATATATTCAAATTCTGGCTCTACAGCAAAAAAAAATCATCTTCATTACAAAATTAATTGGGTAATACTTTTAGGGAAATAAACACTGTTTACTATGAGAATTATACAAAACATAAATGCAGGGTGAGTCAGAAGTATGTTTACCAACTTCGTGTGCATGTTCCAGAATCAAAAATAAGAAAAAATGTTCCTATGAACATGGGGTCGCAAATGATTCATTTTCGAACTAATAGCCAAAAATAATTTTCAATATATGCCTTTATTGCCAAGTATAATTACAAGGATATTTCTTTATAACAGATGCTCAAAGGTTGCTCCTCCATTCTCCACACATGCCCGAGCACGATGTACACAAGACTGATGAATTCGTTCGTACACACCAGGGTTTCCTCGAATCATCTGGCATGCATTCTGCACATGGTCCCATAGGTCATCATCATTGTTTATGGGTGTTGCATAACCGACGGACTTCAAGTGACCCCACAGATAAAAGTCCAATGAAGTCAGGTCCGGTGACCTTGGTGGCCATGATACTGGGCCACCACGCCCAATCCATCACTGAGGGTACTGTTCATTGAGATGATATCTGACGCGATGGGAGAAGTATGCTGGGGCTCTGTCGTGCATAAACCGCATTCGTCTTCTTGTATTCAGTAGTACATCTTCAAGGAGATGTGGCAAGTGTCTTCTTAAGAATCATCAATATGAAGTTCCTCTTAGACGCGATGGAAGCATGTGTGGACCAATAAGCATGTCGCCAACAATTCCTGTCCAAATGTTAACTGAATATCTTTGCTGGAAGCTGGATTCACTTTGATATAGAATCAATTCATTGAAACTTATTTTTGTCTATTATTTCGAAAATGAAACATTTGCGACCCCATGTTCATAGGATCATTTTTTCTTGTTTTTTAATCCTGGAACACGCACACGAAGTTTGTAAACATACTTCTGACTCACTCTATATACTGTGGGAGTAAAATTCAGTCACTGAATATTAAAACAAGCAGTGAATTTAGTTACCACTGGTTGTTAAAGGGTAAATGAGTCCTAAAATTGTCATGTACAATTTTTTTATGGTGAAACATTTTTAGATCTTTTGTAGAATTCTGTTTGAACTTCATGCAAAGTTGGGATTTTATAAGATGAACAGAAACCCAATTTGCATTTGTCTGAAAACATTTCATATAGACCCTTCTCCCGTATATTAATATCCATATAGTATTTTCACAAATGAAATGTGGGTGATCAGATAGCTGTTTCCTCATAGTTCTGTAGTCGCATGAAAACTATTATCTGCAAGAAAAACCTAGAGCATACTGACCATAAGACCCACAGCCAAGACACACAGACCATACAGAATTGTGTTTGCTTCCAGCTGTGAGAGATCTATTTCTGTGCCGATGAGACCAAATAGCACTGGCTCAAACACCTTCCAGATTACACTGTATATATCTGCCACAGGATTCTGCCAGGAGAGATTATACAATTACAAGAAAGTTACAACAGTGCATTTAGCATGTGGCTCCTTCATCTTGTGTTTCTTAAGACAAGAAATATTTTCCCATCCAAATTCTCTTGCATCATATTTTCCCTTCTCTGTAAGTAAAATGAGGTTAATGATGTATCATTCATGTGTGTGTCTTTATCCCTGTCTTTCATCTTATTTCCATGAAACACATAATGAACACATTTCTTTTGCAAGCAACACTTCTAAATTTACTGCTTAAAAATATCAGCATAGCAGTCATGTAAACTAACAGGGAGTAACAACAATGTCACTTCATGTTAAAATCACTGAATTTCTATTGTGACAGACTTCTTGACAAATGTGTAACTTTCGTTGTGGCCCATTTCATATAAAACAAAATATAAGAACCTGCTGACTGCATGTTTCAGTTCGGAGAATTGTGTGATATCCACAGTTCAGAGCAGGAATTTTCCTGTAGTGTGAACATGGGGTTAGTGTAAAAATATATGCCCAAATTGGCAGATTCATGGTAAATAGGAAACACAAGTGTATGGTGAGGATGAATTAGGAGGAAGAAGACATGGGAAGTCAAATTTGGTTTCTGGACTCCTGGTTATAGTGCTATTGGTTATTGGTGGAGTAGAGATGAATCTGGGAAAACAACTTGAGCAGTTGAAGATAGATCCATTTCTAGCATGTGAGAAATGAGAAGGAGAGTTAGGTGGTGAAAGAGTAGTTTGAGACACACAAGCAAGAAATTTCTGAACTAAGAAAGTAAGCATTACCGTAGGTTCCATATTTGACAAATGAGGTAATAAATGAAGTGATTACTGAATACAAACAAATTAAGCAGACAGTGAGAGAATGGGAGGAAAGACAGTAAATGCTGCATAGCTAAGTAATATATTTGGAAAAAAGACACTAGAAGGATATTTTAATTTTCAGATCGTCAGAGAAGCATGATGAAGGGTACCTCAAAACTCTAGGAATGATTAATATGTTTATGGGAGATAGAATGAAAATTCTTAAGGAATACCAATTGTGTGGCTAGATGTGAATGAGAGGGAAATAGCTAACTGTAATGAAATTTATTTATTTCTCAGTGAAATTATAAATGGTGACAAGTAAGAAACTAAATGGGTGTGGATGAAGATTTTCCTTAGAAACAAGGAAGGTCAGGAAAGGTCTGATCCCATATTATAGGATGCTATGAAGAGGGGACACAGCCTTTTTGAGAAAGGACAAGTTGATAGTGAATGGGCAGGTTTATGATTTGGAGCACAGTATTAAGAAATATACAATGGCATTGAATTTTATGTGAAGTGTGTAGAAAATGAAGTGACAAACTTTGTTGAACAAGAATGATGTGAGATGTGGACGTACCTTAAGTTCTAAATTTGTTTAATATTTTTATGGATGATGATATTTTGTAAAAAAAAAGTGTTATGGACACCTAGGTTTGAAGCAAATGGTGGCAAAGTTGGAGATGAGAAGAGAGTCAGAGGGGAAAGGTACTTGCTTTGCATAAATGAGGATTTAGCCTGTAGGAAAATAATATAAATTATACTATCATAGCCTATGTAAAGAATTTTTATAAATATGAATATAAATTTAGATGCAAATGGGAAAACAAAATCAGTAAGATGGAAGTATTAGTTGAGGGTAAAAGAGAATTATAGATGCTCATGGAACTATTAAATGGTGTTCAACTCTATGTACTAGTGCATCTCAGCATGTGAAATTCAGTATGGTAATAAGTTATGGCAGAAGGCCTTAATCAACACTTTGAGTGCTGATATTTATATAGAAGTATACTTATTTGTATGCTACCAGTGGTACATGCTGCTTTTAAAGCATTTGGTACACAAGTTTTCTCATTGCATGAATATTCAGCTCTGACTGATCAGATTACTTGATTACACGTGTGAGAGAGATATAGAAGCTCTGTTGAATCAGTAATATTTCTCTCTTTCATCTGAAAGATAAATTTTGTGTTTGGAAAACAAGTTTGTCAGTTGGCAATGGTAAACATGGCAGACAAATTGTATAATGGAGGCAATGGTAATGTGCTGTTTGTAGTGATGCAGTGATAGTGATGGTAAAAACAAAAAGTAAGCCTCCTCACTCATTCACAATCATAACGTAGGACAAGAATATTTATGCATTCATTAATATTACAGTAATTGCAAAAACTAAACACAACAAAAAATATACAACACAGGATGTTACAGAAGCTTGTAAAAATGTAGGACTTAATAAGTTGATTATATTTTAGCTGTCAAGACATTCCAGTTTTCTATTGAAACCTAAGATTTGTCTCTTTTGTGTTCAGAAAAGCCAGCCTTGTCCTAAGCCAGCCCAGTCCAGTTCACATCATAAAGTAAATTGTAAATGCCCTTAACAATGTTGTATGTACATAATTATTTTTACAGTTTCAATCCACTTTAACACACTTTTTCTGTGATTTGAAGTAACAAATGGAACAAAATATGGGCAATTATAAGTACAGAAATTGTGTATTAGAAACTGTTAATAGGATTCAGCAGTTGATTAAATGCAAAATGTCAAGGTCAGTATTAGAACTCACAAAACTGCTGCTCCAGCCTAGCATCTTCCAGCCAGAACAGGCTAAAAAGGCAGCTACAATGCAAGCAAGTGGACCTGCTCCTGAGTATCCCACTAGACTACTGCCCAGGACAGCAAACAGTCCACCCCCTCCTATTAGGAAGGCTCGTTCCCTAACCACCCACACCTGTAACACAGACCATTATCACTGTGAAGATAATGGAAAAAATTACTTATGTTGCTTAGAAACAAAACCATAGAAATAAGCACAGAGATTTGTGTTTTCATAACAATAAACAAATGTATCTGCGCTTTCAGATATGTAACATATGGTATTCTTTAATACGTATGCAGAAATATTCCTTTATAGTGATAAGCAAGTGGTTTTTTATTAAAAAACACAGAAATTAACCTGAAACTGAAGAAATAATACTGACTGGAACAAGGATAAACTTTATGATGTTTTAAGGCTTCAGTTATGGAAAAAAAACTTAAGAAATGTAAGTATTGTTTATCTCCACTCTTTGTCACATCTGTATGCTGGTATCTTCTTTTTATAAAGAAAAAAACATTGTTGATATCTAACCTGATATAGAGTTTATATCTTAATTGCATCATGCTTGTGTTCCTCAATACAGTACTTTTATTTTCCGTCGTTACACAAGCTTATTGTTAAAATCATATAAAATTTCACATAAAATTGTTACATTTTAAAATTGACGACATGTTTCGATATACAATTCTATCATCGTCAGGTCTATCAAAATTAAAATTAAAATCTGGTGTATCTGTTGCTCTGCTTATATTGCTTATGTTTTATCCGTTTTTATTACATCTCCAGGCTTCTTTCATTTAATTTTGGAGACGCGCCTGGGTGCCTATATCGGGTTGTGTGTGAGGTGCGTGTCCGTTGTTAT